AAAAATATACAAAATGCTCACCGTCATATTGTCTTTATATCGATTAAAACAATTTGTTATAAATGTACGTGTGTACCTTTCATGCATATACGTACCATTAGACGTGTCAGGTGAACGAACTTACCTAAAAATAGAATCGTGTTACATAATTCGTTTAAAGTGTTAAATTATATTACGAAACTTGTATCACTATGAAACATGCAAACTTGAAAGTTTTTGTTTTGAATCCACTTGCCAGGCGAAGAAAAAAGTAAAAAGAAATCGAAATGACGATTTAAGTAAAGATCAGTAAAGTACAGAATATGTTCGGTAGAAAAAGATTCAATACGTAGCATATATATTAAAGATGCCTTATTCATTTTATATCGTCACATTTGTATAATGAATTGTAAATCAGCCAATCATGATTGATTATGCAAGTATAAATTGTCGTTATAGCGATAACCTTTCTAAACGGCTTCGATTGAAAAATCTTCTAAATACTGTAACAAATCTGAAAGAGCCAAAATTTATAAGACTAATATATATATTTTTAATGTTAATAAAATATAAAATTTTAATATAACAGTTTTGATATCTACACTAAACCGTAAGATTGGTTTTCTTTGTGAACAAATTACAACACTAAGATATATTTTAATTTGATTAGAATGGTCATCCTTAAGTTTTTCCATTTCTCGTTCATGTTCTTGACTAAGAAGTAATTTTTCTTGATTTGAATACTGTTTATTTTCTATTAAATTATTTTCGGCTTCATCTTTTAAGATTTTTATTGATTCAAGTTCTTTCATTAATTTATTCTTTTCAATATCATTATCTCTAATTATTTTATTAATTTGTTCATCTTGTTGATTCCTTAATCGTTCTTCATTTTGTATTTCTTGATCTTTTAACTCTTTTCTTACCTTTTCCAATTCCATCTTATGATCAAATTTTAACCTTTCTAATTCATTCTTTAATTGATGTATCTTTGTATCGGTTTCTTGACTTTGTCTGAGTCTCATCGTTTCATATTCTTTCTTTAATATTTCCAACTCTTCCTTCTCCATAGAACTTGATTCAATTGGTGATGTCATACCAGTACTAGCAACACTATGTTCGTTATCTGATAAACGTAATTGACTTGCCTCAGATTGATAATCTGAAGTACTTTTCGAAAAACTATCATCTCGATGATGACCTTTATATTTAAGAAGATCTGATTCAATACTAACTGGTGACCTTATGGATGATTGACTAACAGGTGATCGTATTGGAGATGATTGTTGGTTCATTGACTTTTCATTGTTAGAAGGCAATGAAGTTAATGAAGTATCGATTGTTTTATTCACAGTTCGTTTTATAGGTTTGATTTTAGATAGTATTGATTCACTAACAGTATTTTTATCATTTTCAAATGCTTTAAGTCGAGCTGCAACTTTATTTATTTTTTTAAAAGCAGGTTCAGCTTTATCATTTTTATCATCTTTATCTTCATTTATTTTATTTTGGTTGGAATTTCTTGTTGATTTCGGAAACTTATTTGGTAAAGGAGGAAGAGGTCGGTTATTTTGTGAATTTAAATTTTCAAATTGTTTTAATTTCTCTCGCAATGCCGAAGCCATGATTAAATTATAAATGAAAAAATTTTGTTATAATAAAATATGTTATATATAAAAGTTGTTATATAAAGTTATATACAAAATGAATATACGAAAAATGTTGTTGTGTTAAGAAGAGAAAAGAATCTAAGAATCTGTTGAAATGATAACAAACAATTCAATAAATTTAACTATGCGTAATGAGTCTGTCTGTTTACACTTTACATGCATCACCATATTTATTACTATTTAATACTGTAATACGTACTTATTTATTATATATTTATAATATATATATACTAATAAATGCTATTTAATGCTATTTAATGCTATTTAATGCTAACTAAGGTCTCACCGTTTTGTAAATTAAAAAAAAAATAAATAAAACATTCTTTACTTAAATGACTTACAAACGTCACACACAATTTCGGTTGTGACATTTTGTTCATTAAATTGTGTTAACATTTCA